CCTGTGTGATTTCCTCTCTGCTTCTTCCATGTGGAACTGCTTCCACTTCCTCTGGTGAATCACTGGCTATTTGTCCTGCCTCCCCTTCTTCTCTTGGAGGTACGGGTGGGGCAGATCCTTCTCTTTCTTCCTCCCTTACTAATCGCAGTGGTAGGCCTGTAGGTCCTGTAGATCTCCTTATCCATGTCTTCCTTTTCACTACAGGGGCAATAATGACTTCAGATGTCATAGTTTGGGTCCCTGTCTCAGTCATAGTCTCTTTAGAGTATTGAACTGCAGCTCAATAAGCACAGGCCAGGTCCCAGTACAGGGCAAGAAGTTGCTGGTTTTGATCAGGGTAGGCAAGGCATCGTTCCATCAAACGACGTGTCAGTTTGTTGGGGTTGAATACTTGTTCTGGTGTGAAGTCCCAAGCAACAGGGGATGTTAAACACCCTAAGAAGCTGCCTAAATTCATCCACATGCCCTGCTACCCAGGAACTGGACCCTTTAAAGCACATCCCAGTAAATTCTCTCTCGAAGTTTGTTTTGTCCTACAAGGCAACAAAGACAATACTACATTCCCCAATCCCCACAACATTCTCATCATGTTGATTATAAGCAGCACCATGGCCAGGCAACTTAAGTAAGGGTTAGTAAAAATCTCTGGTACCTTCATTACAAGGCGCTCTATATCAAAATTAAGAAGGGAAAGAAAATTGATTTTATCCCCCTGGAGGTCCTTTAGGGGATAAGTTCCACATCCCAGAAAGACTGTCAGTAAAAGTAAGGTTACAGAAACTAAAACTGGGCAAATAGCCATGTTTATGTTATTATTGATGCCTTAAGCCCCTATTAGTTTTTTATTTTTCTAATTTTTGTAAGCTTTATAAGTTTTATAAGAAGTAGAGGCAGCAGCCCTTGACCCTCTACCCTGTAGCACCCTTTAGTTTACACATTCCTTAACCCTCTTACCCCATTCCATGCTCCCTATATCACTCCTACCCCTGAATCCAGTAGAAATGTTTACTCTTTTGTCAAGGCAAGGCCTATGCTGTTTAGAGAACACCCTGAACAACAGAACAGAGTCAAGAACTAGGTGACTGTGTACCCTCTGTGCCCCGAAGAAGATGAAGATTGATGAAGAGAGGGTCTCAAGAAGCCCACAGACCCAATTCCTAAGGGTGGGCCAGGGGGTGGACCAGAGCAAAGGCTACGGGGTGGAAACACTTGGGATTGGACAGATATTATTATAAAATGTAACATCTCAAGCACAGCGGTGGCGCGTCCTGTAACATCTATTGCCTTGGCACAATTAAACCCTTTCCTTATCTCACCCTCAGTTAACTGCTTCTGAGTTATTTTTTTCTTAGCACCAGCTGGCACCAGAAAAGGTACAAAGAGAACCTACAGTTTCTGCATCAACACAGATTGTCAAACTTTCTGTGGCTATAAAAGCATTTGAGTTATTCAGTGATCAAGCTTTAAATACTGTTTGTGACTCTTAATATGTTATAGGTATCATAGCTCAGATTGGAGACTCTCTCATCAGAGAGCTGTTGTTTGAATGCTCTATGCGTTTGTCTCATTTGGTATGTTCTCCTCACCATGCTTATTTTGTTTGTCATATTCGTTCTCATACCAGCTTGTCAGGACCAATCGTAGAAATCTTTCCATTTAACAAGAACGCACGCATGGGATATCATTCATGCATCCCTGATTGTCAGATATTTGCCTCATTACCCACAGCAGGAGGAGTTAATCCCCGAGGTCTTTCAAGCAACGAACTGTGGCAAACTGATGTTACACATGTGCCCTCCTTTGGGACCCTTAAATACTTACATGTTATGGTTGACACTTTTTCTGGTTACATTCATGCATCTGCTAGAACAGGAGAAAAGGCTAAAGATGCTCAAAGCCACTGGCTCGCTGCTTTTGCAGTCATGGGTGTGTCAAAATCTATCAAAACAGACAATGGGTCTGCCTACACTGCTGCTTCAACGCTGCATTTTTTTTGCAGGACTGGGGAGTCACTCGTTACTGGTATCCCTCATATTGTCACGGGCCAAGCTATTGTGGAATGTACTCATCGCACTCTGAAAGCAATGCTGGAAAATCAAAAAAAGGGGGGAAACCCTAACCTCAGTGCATGATTGGGTACAAAAAGCCATGTATGTTTTAAATTTTTTGAACATGCAGGTCGATATCTCTTCAACTACTGCAGTACAACAACATTTTTCAGCAAAACCCTTTTCAGCATCTAAACCAAAGGTCTGGTATAATGATCCTGAGACACATCAGTGGGGAGGACCTGTTGAGTTAATTACTTGGGGAAGAGGGTATGTGTGTGTTCTTCTTCCTGCAGGACCTAGGTGGTTGCCAGCTAAATATATATGGCCTTATCACAAGCTGGAACAACGAACTGCAGAATCCACTTCCAGAAATCCAGGGCCTGCAGGTGATACCTTGGAACAACAGAGCCAGGAAGAGAGAACAGATGACCAGTGACACCAGCATTATCTGGGGTCGACTCGAACTTTTAGATGAGCAACTATAACGTATCATGACAACAGTAGGTGCAGTATAAACCCCTGGCAACATCCTTTTCGCTTATTTGGCCTTGATCTTTTCTGCATCTAAGGTCTGTATTGCTTAGTTATTCTGTATCGTATCAGCAGTAGTCATTTTAGTTACTGCCTCTGTTGCAATCACCTTATTAACAAAAATCTGTGTAGATTACACTGCCTCTGATAACATCTTGCAAGAGCTATGAATTTAAGCAAGTTAATTAAGCCCTTATGGTTTGTTTAGATGCATTAGAATCTGCTATCATGTGGTTAGATGATAGATGACATGCCTTGTAAACTACAAGTAAGTTGTGCTGTGAATTGTAGTAATCTTTGCTAAATTTTGCAGTGACTACATCAAATTTCCCATTGAGCGGAATCATCGAGCACCAAGCGATGGCTGTCTTCCTCCATCGTGCTGAATACAGAAAGGGGGGAGATGTAGCAGCCAAATGTGAGAACAAGAAGAGAAAGGCCTGAGGAATGTCTAGATGACCTTTTTTTGTTTTCTCTAGGCTGTGATTTACTGCCCAGAAACGAGCTAAACTATCCAGTTTGCAATTCACCATGTGGGGGTGTAAAAAGGGGTTACTTGAAACTCCAAGGTCTGTGTGTGGTGTGTCTGTGTGGCCAGCTGGTCTGTGAGTGTGGTTGATGTGTGACTTGCAGCTGTGTTCTGCCTTGATTTGCTTAACCACTCCCAGCTGAAAGTGAACGAGATAAAACCCCTGAATCATGGCCATTTAAGCGATTTCTGTCCATCAAGTCAGGAGTCCGTGATTTACATTCCCTTACACACCCGTGCAGCGATGTCCTGCTACAATGCAGTAGCCAAGATGGATTTACCTCTGCGTTGCCAATTGGCCTTCTTCCACTGCTGTAGCCACCCCCATACAGCGTTAGCCACCATCCAGGAGTCAGTATAGAGGTATAGCACAGGCCACTTTTCTCGTTCAGCAATCTTTAGGGCTAGTTGGATGGCTTTCACTGCTGCAAACTGGCTTGACTCACCCTCTCCTTCAGCAGTTTCAACAACCCCTCGTGTGGGACTCCACACAGCAGCTTTCCACCTCGGATGGTTTCCTACCACGTGGCAAGATCCATCAGTAAATAGAGCGTAGCCTCTTTTGTTTTCTGGTAACTTGTTATATGGTGGTGCTTCTTGGGCATGAGTCACCTCTTCAGGCAATGCTCCAAAATCCCTGCCTTCTGGCCAGTCCATAATCTCTTCCAGGATTCCCGTGAAATTGGGTTTTCCCATTCGGGCTCGCTGTGCGATAAAAGCTACCCACTTACTCCATGTAGCACTGGTTGCATGATGTGTTGAGGGGATGTTCCCTTTGAACATCCAGTGCAGCACGGGCAAATGCAGTGCCAAGAGGAGACATGCTTCTGTCCCAACAACTTCTGAGGTGGCTTGAACACCCTCATAGGCTGCTAATATCTCCTTTTCAGTTGGCGTCTAGTTGGCTTCTGATCCTCGATAGCCCCGGCTCCAAAACCTTAATGGTCAGTCTCGGGTTTCTCCTGGTGTTCTCTGCCAGAGGGTCCAGGTGAGACCATGCTCCCCAGCTGCCTTGTAGAGGATATCTCGCACAGCTGGTCCTGTTCGAACAGGCCCCAGAGCTACTGCACAGGCTATCTCCTGTTTGATCTGCTCAAAGGTCTCTTGTTGCTCAAGGCCCCACTCAAAATGGTTCTTCTTCCAGGTCACTCGATAGAGGGGGCTCACAAGCTGACTGTAACCTGGAATGTGCATCCTCCAAAAACCCACAAGGCCTAGGAAAGCTTGTGTTTCCTTCTTGTTAGCTGGTGGGGACATAGATGCTATTTTGTTTACTACCTCCAGGGGCACATGACAGTGTCCATCCTGCCATTTTATTCCCAAGAACTGAATCTCCTGTGCAGGTCCCTTTATCTTGCTTTGTTTTATGGCAAGACCAGCTTTGAGAAGAATTCGGACTATTTCCCTCTCTTTCTCAAAAACTTCTGCTGTTTTGCCCCATACAATGATATCATCAATATATTGCAGGTGTTCTGGAGTTCCCCCCTGTTCCAGTGCAGTCTGGATCAGTCCATGGCAGATGGTTGGGCTGTGCTTCCACCCCTGGGGCAGTCGATTCCAGGTATACTGGACATCCCTCCAGGTGAAGGTAAACTGTGGCCTGCACTCTGTTGCCAGAGGAATGGAGAAAAACGCATCGGCAATATCAATTGTGGTGTACCACTCGGCTGCCTTTGACGCCAGCTCATACTGAAGTTCTAACGTGTCTGGCACAGTAGCACTCAGAGGTGGCGTGACTTTGTTCAGATCACGATAGTCCACTGTCAGCCTCCACTCCCCATTAGACTTTAGCACTGGCTATATGGGGCTGCTAAAGGGTGTGTGGGTCCTGCTGATCACTCCCTTTCGATCGGCTGAGGGCGACGGACCATCGCCTGCCCTTTTGGAACGGCACTTGCCTATTGCTTAGGACCGACTGACCCATGTTCAACTGCTGTTCACATGGAACCCTGCTCCACGCGGATATGGGTATGGCCTGGTGCAAGACTTATATCCTCTCCCCCAGATTTTCACAGGCCAGCGAGAGCTCACCGGACGCTGCCAGAACTGCAACGCTTTCCAAGGCAAAGGCCCCTCTCTCGAGGCAATCCCATTCCAGGGCACCCGGCCCTTCAGAAAGAAAAGAGAACTCTCCCCGAGTCTCCCATCAGCTTCTCTGGGATCCGTTGCATCACCACACTGGGCGCCTTGCTGCGCCCATCTCTGCCACTCTGGATTCGGGGATCTGAACCCCAACTCCCTTTTCCCTTCCTGGCCAAAGGCAGGGACCCTCTATTCCTGTTCCTGGTCAAAGTATTCACTGTCTGACCTTCGCGATGCCAGACCAGAGGTCCCCTCACCAGGATCAAAGGAATCGGTCTCAGTCCTTTTACATCTGAGAGGTCGCTGATTTCTTTCTTGGGTCTCTGTGGCAACTACATGGACAGTTTTCCTGGGTGACCCCTTCTTAACAGTTCTCTTCCCTCTTAATTCACGTACTCAGGCTTCCAGCTTAGAGGTGGGTTCACCATCCCACTTCTTCATGTCTTCCCCCGGTCACGCAGAAAGAACCAGAGTTCACCATGTGGCCTGTGCTTAGGGCTTCCTTTCGCTCTGACTGGGGCAGGAGGGGACCGATCTCTTGGGTTGCCCCTGAGAGCTGAGGTGCTGGCCCGTGGGAATGAGGAAGTGCCCAGAGTTTCTTCTATATTTCGAAGCCAGGAGGACATCACGTCTACAGTTGGTGGATCCATCTTTGGGTAATATGCTGTTACCAGGCTGTTAGAATATGACGCAGGGGTGCTTTGAACCACCTTCCTCCACATGGCCATCGTGCAAGGAACATCCTCTGGGTCTTTGGGGGTGTCATCCCTTCTTAGGTTACTATAGATGATTTCTAGCACTGCTAATTCTCTCAAGTACTGGATACCTTCATCTGCAGTGGCCCACTTTCTTGGGGAGCTCATTAGATCTTCCTTGAATGGATACCTTTCCCTCACGCTTGAGAGGAGCTGTCTCCAAAGACTGCAAATTGTTCTCTCTAATTCCTCTTTCAATTTTGCAATCTCTGGCAAGGGATCCCAGCTGTTGGGCTTCATGACCTTCCAGTTGTTGACTATCAGCCCCATTGTCCCAGCATCGAAGCAGCCAGGTAGGAATCCGCTCATCGGGCTGGCGGCTGTAATCTTTCCACAAGTCCCGGAGTTCTGATGAGGTCAGGGACCGGGTAACCTCGGTTTCCTGTTTGATTTGTCTGACTTCCTTTGTTGAAGGACTCGCTTTTTTATCTGCCCCTCCCCTCCTTCTACTCCTTCTCCCTATTCTCCTTCTTCCTCCCTTACTAATCACTGATATGGACCTTATCCATTTTTTTTTCACTACTGGGGCAATGACTGTAGTTGTTGTGGTTTGAGTCCCTACCTCAGCCATAGTGTCCTCCATTGCAGTTTGGGTGTCTGCCTCCACTACAGTCTTCTGAGAGTATTGAAGTGTAGATTGATAAGCACAGGCCAGGCCCCAGTACAAGGCAAGAAGATGCTGGTTTTGATTGGGGTAGGCAAGGTACCCTTCCATCAGGTGACGTGTCACTTTGCCAGGGTCGAATACCTGTTCAGGTGTGAAGTCCCAGGTAATGGGAGGTGTCAACTGCCCTAGGAACCTGCCCAGATCCTTCCACACACCCTGCCACCCAGGAACTGGGCACCTCAGGGTGCATCCCAATATATCATCACCTAAAGTTTGTTTTCTCCTACACCAGGATAACACCAGATTCCAAGAACTCCATAATGTGCTGACAGTGTTAGTTAGTAACAGTAACATTACTAAACAGCTCACATAAGGATTAGCAAGGAGCACAGGAGACTTCATTATAAAGCCTTATATCAATGTCAGGGAGGGGGGGAAGGGTGTATTCCTCCATCCTTCCCAGATAGCTCCCCAGAAGATAACTCCCCAAGCACAACAAGGCCACTGGTGTAAAAGCAAAGCACAGAGCCATTGTTTATATTAGTATGTTCCCAAAACTTAGCAAAATAAAGTGATAAGCAATGCAGCCAGCAAACAGTGTCCCGCACAGAAGCTTGCTATTCAATAGCTACTATTACTATAGCATGCTATATATATATATATGTCTTTATCTCGCCCCACATTGGGCACCAGAAAGAACTGTGGTGGGTTGACCTTGGTTGGATGCCAGGTGCCCACCCAGCCGCTCTATCACTCCCCTTCCCAGTCAGACGGGGGAGAGAGTAAGGTGGAAAAACAACTCGTGGGTTGGGATAAGGCAGTTTCTTTAAAGCAAAAAGTAAAGTGGAAGTTTGTGCATGCAAAAGCAAAGCAAAAGATAGCAGGGTTTATTCTCTACTTCCCATGAGCAGCAATGGTCGGCCACTTCCAAGAAGCAGGGCTTCGGTATGCGTGATGGTTTCTCAGCAGGTAGCCATTGAAGACAATGAATGCCTGCCTTCCTGCTCCTTGCCTTAGCTTTTATATCTGAGCTGACGTCATATGGTCTGGAATATCCCTTTGGTCAGTTTGGGTCAGCTGGCCTACTTGGGTCCCCTCCCAGGATCTTGCCCTCAACTGAGGAAGGAATGTTACAGTGCTGATGCCCTGCTCAGCAGTAGCCAAAACACCAGTGTGTTAACACCCTTCTAGCTACCAATGCAAAGCACAGCACTGTGAGGGCTACTGTGGGGAAACGAACTCCAGTTCAGCCAGACCCAATACAACAACCTACCCTACTCTCTCTACTGTGGGTGAGGATGGTGATCTCTAACAGAGGGTCGGAGAAAAAGCTGGGGAAGTGCACAGAGCTCATTTGTCTCTGTCTTCAGCATCTGGATAAAGAACTGAGGTGACCTATTTCTGATTCTATGATTTGAATGCAAAACTGCAAGTTGCCTTCCAATAGTGAACTTCTATGAGTTTGCTCCTGATATGTAAATTGAATAACACTAGTTTATGTCAGTTGAAGATCTCTTAGATTTTTACGGGGTTTATATTGTTTCATACACACTTTGTGTTCATTAATTGAATCAGTGTCTGACCATGGAATGGCAATAATTAGGTCCTGATAAATGTTGTCTAACAAATGGTGTTTTATGGAGATCTAAAATACAAACCCATGACTTGTAAGTAACTCGTTCTAATTATAGTGAGCTGTCTTTCTAATATCAGTTCTTAAACTTCCATAATCTTAGTTTTGGTTAGAGTTAGTAAATCAAGAAAATATAATGAAACATTCATAGTGTCATTTCATATTTTTCATGATTAAGAAAGGTGGTCCCAAGCTTTCCTGTTCCCAGTAACAGTGTGTTGTGATTAATGGTTGGACTCTATGATCTTAGAGGTCTTTTCTGACCTTAATGATTCTATGATTTCATAATGTTGGGTTTTTTTCAAAAGCACCTGTGGGTTCTTTTCAAAAGCACCTGTGGAACATGGCTTCAGTTGGAGGGGGGATGCAATTATTTTTCTGTAGATTTAAAGATAAGGGAATGTGATCTGCACAGTATCATGCTATCAGCATGCAGCTGAAGCTTAGGTCTATGTTGCCTTTTCATCAGATCTAGATGGTGCAGTTTACTTGTTTTCTAATATCTTGCTGTGTGAGTCGACACAAGCAGCCAGAACAACCACAAACTCACAGCTAGAACACAAAGAGTAAATTTATTTCCATTACCTCACTAACCACATCCCTGAAGCAACTCCCAAGCAGAGGTACACAAGCAGAGGCACAGGCACTGTTAAACTCAGTCCATGCCAAGGATCACTGGCTGCTGTTCACACTGGTTTATCAAGAGTTATTCCCAGCTGCAAGGTCACTTGAGCAATTTACAATCCTCCTCTGCAGTCTTCCGATTTTTAACCCATTCCTCCCAACACTTGTTAAGGCAGGAAATCTGATCAAAACTACCCTGTGACCTAGACTCATTTTGGTTTGATTCAAGACTAGAAAAAGACAAAAATTATATTGAATATTAAGGATAAACAAATAGAGGAATTGAAAATAATTATTGCTCTGTTTGTTGCTAGAGTCAGTGCAACTGTCTTGTGCTAAAGTAGTCTGCCATTTCTGGAACTTTTGGGGTGTCTTGCTGGTTGTAAATTCCAAAGTAGTGGTTGTTTGTAGCCTGATCAATAATCATAAATTGCTGAGGTTAGAAGGGACATCTGATGATTGTTTAGTCCACACCCCTGCTCAAAGAAAGGTCAACTAGAGCAGGTTGCTCAGAGCCATGTCCAGTTGAGTTTCTAATATCTTCAAGGAGGGAGACTCCACAACCTTTCTGGGCAACCCAGTCTAGTCTTTGACCATCTTCACAGTAATATTGTTTCCTTACATTTAAGTGTGTTAAGGAAACTTTCCTGTTTGTCCTTTCAGGAGGCACTCTGGCAGTCACACTCATACCACCCTTTAACTGCTGGAACAGAAGTCCCTTTGCAGCAGGCATCTCCAGTGAGCTGATGGGTGCCATGTTTGACTCCCTACACACACCACACTCGTAGACAAGTTTCCCTTACAGGCTCAACCCTAGGTTTCCCATAGCAGTCTCAGATGTCTCATTCCTTTAAGTATTTTAATAACAGGTTGAACTGGTTGCCTCCAAACAAAGGGGAGGGACCCCAGACAAAGAAATCTCTGGGCTTTTATACCCTTACAGTCTATGCACCCATTCCTCACATGCCTCTTCATCCAGTGGTGATTTTTTGATATGGGGTCTCCTTGGTTTTTAATTGGATCCTGAAGAGTCTCTGGGTGATCTGGCCACTCTCCCGGCCAGCTGGCACCGCAAGTCTTCTTGCCCTTTGTTAAGCAAAAGGTCAGTGCCCCATTGCCTGTTGCTCCAGCAATTTCCTGCCACCCAGGCACAATTTGCAGCTTGCACACCGAGGTACTGACCCTAGGCATATTTCTCAACAAGTGAAATTTCTTGTATCTTAATTTATGTTCATTACTTCTTGTCCTTTTGCT